CTTCCATACAATCTATCCCTCTAGCCCAGTATATTGTAGTTCAACAATTGCTTATAATTCACTTATCTATGTTACATTATTTTCTCCTTCCAAATACCTTGAGGTAAATAGGTCAAGGAAAAAGCACTGAGTTCACGGAGAGACTTGAGGGTTGAATCAACCGTTTGTAACCATAACCAGTAAATGGTGTTCAGGGGACTCAACAACTTTTCTCTGTCTTCTCCCCTCCTCTTCCCCCTTCCCGAGGGAGAGGTGAAGAGAAATGAGAAGTAACCACCTTTGGGTTTCAGCATCAGAAAATGAGTGATTGGAGCTCCTAGGACAGTCTTGAACCCTGTCTTTTCCACACTCCTCAGAGCATGGAATTGTCCCAGATCCTCAGTCAGGAGCTGCCATGAGTCTGTGGTGGAAAGACAGGGACACTCACATGGGCTCTGGTGCTGCAGTGGGCCTTGTTGCCCCAGCCAGGTAAGACACAGGCAAGCAGCTAAGAAAAGGGCCTCACACCGGGAGGCCAAAGCTCAAAGAGCCTCATACTATGGGGCTGAAGAAAAAGGGCCTCGCACCATGGGGCCGAAGATTTCCAAAGAGCCTCACACTGTGGGGCTAAAGATTCCTTGTGCCTCACACTGCGGGGCTGAAGATTTAACATCCCTTTGTTTTTTGTTCTTGGTCATATAAGAAAAAACTTCTTGGAAAATACATTGGGCAATAAAGTGTATGTATAAGAATATTAAAAGCACATGGCACAGAGAAATATGTGCTAAAAAATTAAACACTGTAAATTTGGCCTGCCTGACAATGGGAAAGAGTTTGTTATACATGAGCATGCCTGACAAGCAACCCAGGACAACAATTATAGTAAGTCCTTCTTTTGCTTTTTCTTAGAAGTTTCCTTTTTTTAGAAGTTTCTTAGGAAAGTTTTAAAATGAAGTTAATTGTGTTAAGAAGTTTCTAGGTAGAAAATGCTGTTAGCTGATAACCAAAAAGCAGCTGGTCTCCGGCTGAAGGCCATATGAATAGAAGAGTCTTTTGATGCTTAGGCTTTAGCTGATAGGGATGTACTGGCGGCTATCAACTATCTTAGGTAATTATCTAAACTGAAATAATGAGTTTTAGTGTAAGGTTTAGTTTTGTTTAGTTTTTTTTTTTTTCTATTAACCTTGAAGGTTGCCTTCTTGCTGAGAGCACATTAGCAGCCAAAAGTCTATGGAAAAGAATGCACTGATTGTTTCTGCTTTGCTTCTATGCATATGATGATGTCATCTTACTGCTTGCTAAAAATGTATAAAGGACCTGCTGAGTCCCTCAGTAGAAGATACTTGCACCTCATCCAGTGTCAATGTCTCCCCACTACCTCATCCCCTTCCCCCCAGCCCTTAAAGTTTCGCCTAGGCTGTCTCATCCTTTCAGGGACATGACATTTTGCAGAGGCTGGTCATCGGCAGCTCCTGTCACACAGTAGGGATTATCTAGCCACCAGTGCTATCAAAATGGTAGGAGAGAAAACAGAAACCCAGAGGGAAGGGGCGAGGATGAGCCACCCATTCTCTCCCTTCCGTGGATCTCACTCCCTCCTGGGTTGGCATCCCCTTCCCTGCAAAACACAGAGATCTCAGAACTCAGCGAATGCAGTCATTGAGTGTGGCTATTTCCACATCCCTGTCACTGGAGCTCAAGACATTTTGCATAGTCTGGCTCAACATGCCACCACTCATATATGTCAAATGTCCCTCTATAGCTGAATTCAAGTGTTAAGACTTATGAGTAAGGGCAGATTAATAAGAACAAGTTTTAATATGTTTGTATATGTCAATATTTACATTGACAAGGGAAGGAAGTAGGCAGGAGGACTGGAAGCCTCTATAAATAGAGATGCCAGTGTCAAGACTAGAAAGAAAAGGTCCATAGCTAGGGTCAGTCAAGTAAGAGATATTTGACACATACTCCTGATATGTGGTTGGTTGTTCCTCTGGCTTGCTTGTAGGAAGAGAGTAGATTTTTTCTTAAGGGACTAAGCGGTCCACTCATATCTTAACAGTTTGCAGAGGATGATTTACTCCTTACTTGCTGAGATCATTATATAATTGTTGGGTAGTTTCTATAAAGTTATAGGAAGGTTAAGGGAGTGATTCACAGGCAAGGATGCCATTGGTTACATTCAGAAAACTGGCAGAGTTGCTCTGAGCAGGTACCTCCAAACACTGGTGGCTTTGCCATTGTCACAAGTGGTCCAAGTGTTTTGAGAGGATTTTTCCTAAAATCCCCTGTCACTCCACCCTGTCCCACCACTTGTCCCTTGACCTGCAGGGTCCCAGGTGCTTTGCACAAACGGTGAACTACAATCATATCCAGTCGCAGATGTGGAGCTATCCCCCACAGTATTACCTGAGGCTTGGGTAGGTGGGTACCCAGTATTCTGATCATAGGCTGTGACATAGGGGCCACCCAAGACAGCTGAGATGTTATTTCCTCCAGTTGTACTAGCTGGGTTTGGTCCAGGTGGGCCCCATTGATGGAAATTAGGAACACCAGGTCCTGCAATTGTGGGAGTACTGTTTTGCATCATAGGTCGTCGCTGTCCCGACCCGCGGGATTCATAGGCACGAAAAGAGAAGGGCTGAGGATTGAAATGAGGGGCTTGAAACAACTTGTCGCTTGCGGTTGCTTCTTTATTTTTCCTTTTCCTTCTCTTTCTTTTAAATGTCTTTCTTTTCCCTGTCTTTCTTACTTCCCTGGCCTTCTCTCTGCTCCTCTCACAGCACTCTCCTCTCTCGCGGTTCTCCTCTTAAATCTCTTTTCTTCTCTCTTCTTTCTCCCGCGTTCTCCTCTTATATCCTGGTAGCTCCTCTCCCCGTACCTCTCAGTCTCATGTGATTTACAGGAAAAACCTGTGGTCCTCCGAAAGCGAAATGGTAAAGCGAAACTTAACTCATGGCACGCATACGCAACACGGCGCATGCTCTGGACGGCTCCGGACAGTCGCCTCAGGATGCTTGGATTTACGGTGGATCCATTAAGTGTGTACAAATGTGGACATATCTCTGTGTTGCCCTGCCACAGTTGTTGCCCTGCCACAGTTGTTGCCCTGCCACAGTTGTTAGATGAATCCTGATTGATACAAGCAGGAGCAGAAGGTGGGCTGGATGCCCTCCTTTTTCTTCCTCTCCGGCCGGGCATTGTCAGTGTCAGAGAGGGAGTAGATCATGTGTTGGATAGATTATCCCCAGAGCTCCCACCGTGCGTGATGGGTCACAGGACCCATCAACTTAAGTGGGTGTGGGCTCATGGTGGCATAGTATAAGCTATTGTCTCCAGTGTTAAAAACACTGGTAGCAGTGCCAGAATTAGTGATAGTGGCTGTGCCAATGGAGACACTTGGGTTGGCAATCAAAGCCTGCTTAGCATTTACAGCAGAGCCAGCTGTGGAATCTGACAATGTCAAACCCATAGAGTCCTATTTCATGGTGTTGCCAACAGATGCCTGGGCTACTGCAGGACAGCCTAGGCCCATAACATTTGGTGGGGTTACTACTAGCTTTCCCAGTTGAGAAGAGCAGTCATACCCATTCATATCTTTGGTCCCCAACTTAGGCAAAGTAAGGGCTACTGGGCCTGAGAGGTTGGAAGTCACCATCAGTTTTCTTTTTTGTAGGTAAACTGGTAAAGACATGGCTTGAGGCCATGTTGCCACCGGGTGGAGGCACTGTGCAAAGTGGGATATGGCTTTTAGAGGCAGGGGGAGATGAAAAGGTGACTGCTTTGTCCTGAGGAGTGGTGTCCATATCTTCAGTATCGGTTTCAATGGCAGGGGCTGAGGTGCCACCTGCTAAACTGTGAGTGGCTGTTGACCCCATGGCGGGTGGGCTGGAGTAAACAGGAGCCTGGGGTAGAGGGGCTTCTCCTGTTTCTCATGGTTGTCCCAAATTTGGGGAGGTATGGGATAATGGGATAATTCAAATATTTGGGGGCCCCCAGCATGGTTAGGCTTTTGGGGACTGGCATTTTGGCAGCATGCTGCTGCTGCTGCACACTCAAATGAACTTGGGGAAATGAGGGCAATACCTCACTTGACTGTGGGTCAGACCTGAAAGTAACAGCCAGTGAAGGGGAAGCAGTATCCATGTCAGTGACATTGTCATCTAACACAGCTTGCGCAGATGGAACAGCAGATTCCTGGGCTATATGGTGGGAGAGACAGCCAGAGGAGTGGTGCGCTGGACAGCAGAAATAAGGGTCTGGGTAGAGGGGTCTGGGGAAGTGGAAGGTAGGACAATGGGAAGGGGAGAATCTACAGACATAGGTGTTGGGGATTCACGTTCGCAGGCACGTGGCTGGAGAGCGGTTGAGGGGCTCTGAGGTATGGGGATGTCCAAAATACGAGATGTTGTAACTATGATTGAATTTGTATTTATCAGCAGGCTCTTCCAAATGGGATTGCAACTATTTGAAATAAAACTATAACAGCAACAGGAGGTGAAGTAAGACTGTGCCTCCTCTTGCTTTATCAATATTTGGTATCTGAGGTGGAAAAGCAGGCACAATCAGTGGCCTGACAGATATGTCAGCCAGGACAGTAGGAGTATTGCGGACATGCAAAGTAGGTTGTAAGGAGACATTTGGGCAGAAAAGAGAGGTAGGTTGAGTGTCACTATGGTCTGAAGTGATCTCTGTTTCACCCTGAAGAGTGGTGTCCATATCTTCAGTATCAGTTTCAATGGCAGGTGCTGAGGTGCCTCCTGCTAAACTGTGAGAGGTTGTAGATCCCATGGAGGGAGTGGGCTGAGGTGGAAAAGCAGAACACCCTCAGTGTTCTCCTGTGTGTCCAGGTTATCAGCAACACCTAGACAGGGGAGCTTAGAGGGTGGGGGCATCTCACCACTGTCCCATAGAAGCTGTATTGGCATGGGCAGTGGAAGTAGAAGTGGCATGGGCTTTTTCTGTTTGCAGGCCCTATTGCTGCCAGAGTATGGTGAAGTGGAACTCATTGATTGGCTCTCTTAAGACTGTATCTCCTGTATCTCCTGTATCTCCTTCTGGGATATCGATGTGACTGGCGAGCTAGGTGGGTGGTCTTCAGCCAACTCTTCCTCTGTTGATGTCTGCGGTGACAGGAAGCCACCTAGGGTTGGGCTAGAGAATATGGCTGCATCCTCTTCAGGCTTCTTGGGAGGCAGATCATCCCCAACAAGGTCTCGGGTGGTGGGAGGCATCTGGGAGTTTTCACTGGAGCTTTCTTCTGGTGGTGTGGGAAGGAGAGCCAGAGATCCAGGGTTACATCTTCCAGAAGTGATGACTCATTGGTCAAGGATGAAGGTGCCAAAGGCATAGCCCCAATGTGATCATCTTCCTCTGTGGTCTCTGGCAATGTCTTCCTCCATGCTCTCTGCGGAGACCTCTTCCTCCACAGTCTCTCTGGACAGCTCTTCCTCCTTTGCCATCTTAGGTTTTTCTTGGGCCCTCACCTCCATATCCTCTGGGGAAGTGAAATGTTCCGCGCAGTAAAGAAAAGAGCCAGGCCAAGCTTTTTCAAAGGAAGGGAAAATTTATTGCACCCCGGGCGGACTTCACGGACCCAAGGCGGGGGTCGGTGAAGTCGCATGAGTTATCAGGGGCAGACAGGTTTTTATAGAGTGAGGAGAGGTCAGGTGGTAAACTGGGTTCATATGGGGGGGGAGCGTGTAGGGAAAGGGGAGGTTCTTTGAGAAAAAATTTGTCGGGCGGGGGAGGCTCATTGTGTGAATCCTCTGGGCAGGCTTCAGCATCCCTGCCCCCAGGTGCACTTCCTGGTGGGCTTTTGCATTCTGGCTTCCTGCATCGACCTTTCAGGAAGGACTTGGGGAGAGGTGACTGGAGGATTCTGCTTTCTTAGGCCTTGGGGTCTTGCTTAAGTGGCAGAGGAGAGATTAAGTTTTCCTCCTTTGGTGGTATACTTCTGGGTCTGCAGTGTCCAAACATCATAGAATTACGAGCAGACAGGACAGGCTTCCTCGGAGGGTTCCCAAGTGATGCCCGTGGGAGACCCCCAAACCGAGCACAAGGCTGGTGGGACGGGATATTGCCTGGGGGGCGCTCTGTGAAGGCCAGTTGGTAAAGGCGAGAGCTGCCGGTGGAAGTGCCTGGGAGCCGGCGGGCTGGCCGGTGCTGGAGCGTCTGGGTGGACCCGACCAGGAGGAGCAGAATGGAGATTAGGTTGTACAGGCGGGCGCCTGCCAAGCAGGGCCTGCGGCGGGACAGTCGGTGGCACAGAGAAATTTACTAAGTAAATTGCCCATCGATAGCTGTTAGTGCGCCGAAGGATCCGAGCATTGAGTAAGAAGCTAGGTGAGCTGTCCCTGAGCTTCCGACTGCTCTGGAGATCAAGCACGCACTGGCCGCCTCGGGGATTGTGACAGTCCGTGGAACGTCACAGGGAAAGTGCAGGGGCTGACGCGAGCTGGGGGCCCCATCATCGAGCAAAGGGCAAGACCCCCAACGTCCTGCCTCATCCCCTACTTTCCCAGCAGATTCAGGTGTTGGCATCAGATGGGTCACTCTGTGGGGACTGTTGGGGACCCCAGAGATCCCATCTGCCAGAGCGCTCCCCTCCTGGACAGGGTTTTAGCTTTCGTGTCTCCCTTGCTCAGGCGGCCCTCGTGCTCCTCTCCCCTCCCCCATCACGGGTCCTTAAGAACAGAGCCTGCAGAAAGTGAGGGAACTTGGGCCCCATTCCCCTCAGGCATTTCTCCCATTCTTTTCAGCAACCCACTACCCCTCCCACCACCATCCTGCCCAGTATCTCTGCACCACCATCTTCTCCATGGCCACTCCGGCTATCCTCATCACCAGGTTTCCCAGGGTGGGCTGTGACCGTGCTATATAACATAGTGGCCTCCAGTGCCCTAGGACTGGACCCTGCACCATCTCCCTTCCCCACAGCTGTGTTCTTTCACCTCCTTTACATACATTTGATAAAACAACATTTAAATGTTGGACCTTCCTTAGGTCACACAGATAGTAGTGCTCAACCAAGATTTGAACCTAGCCTGTGGGATTCCAGAGTTCCTGCTCTGGACTGTGGTCCTTCTTTATGGCATCATGAGTTACCCATCATTTTTTGCAGTAGTTTTTAGGGTATTTATACCTGCAATAAAAAAGAGCACATGCACTCTCCAACTCCCACAGTGACCACTGTCCACACCATGCTCTAGTTGCAGCAGTCACAGGTCAGGGGTCACCATTGTCAATGTAACACCATTCCACATTTCTCTAATTGAGCCTAGCAGGCTGATTTTGGTCCATTTTGAAAAGCTTCAATATGGAAAGATTATATTCTAGATAAATGGTGGGCTATCATGAAAGCAATTCGCCAAATGGATTATACCATATGGATTGGAGGCCAGTTTCTCTGGTTTTCCACATATTTCTAGGTATTCACACCTAGGAAGAAAATACATCATTTACTATAAATGAATAATGGAGCAAAATATGGGATTAAAATAATCTAACACAGTTTGGTCGCTAGAAGCACACAAGCTGGTGTGCGTTACATGTTTTTGGCACTTAAATGTGAGCCTAGAGAACCTTATGCCCAAGAGAGGAGACATATTAAGGGCACAGAAAGGCAAGAAAGAAAGCAAAGCTATGTGTAGCCCAGGATTTCTATAAGCTACCTATTTTTTTTTTAATTACCTATCTCTCTTTAGGTTATTTCCAGTGTTTTACCCTCTCCCCAGGAAAGGGGGAGGTTCCAGGTTCCCTGCCCCACCCAAAGGAGGGTGGAGCTGAGCAGAGTGGAGAAGAAGCTGCAGAGGAGACTGGAGAAGGAAGGAAGCAGGATGGAGAGCCAGAAGGAGACCTGAAGGAGGCACATGGAGCAGAGAGACATGTGAAGAAACTGCACTTGCCTCTTGGTCATGGTCATGGACTGATTGACACAGATGTGGGTGAGAGACTTGTGGGGAGGTGATAATGGTGGTTTTTGTCTTGATTTTGTTCTTTTCCTTCCAGACTTGTCTGGTTGTTTCTGATCCTTTTCGGTGGGTCCCCACTGGAAGATGCTTTAGACCTGTGGCAGGCTTTTGGGACTTGCTTTGGGTCAACGTTGTGGTATGGGGATGGGTAACTTTTGGTGCTTGATTTGGAAACTATATTCTTTGTCTTTTCTGTATTGCACACTAATTGTATTAAAATTCCTTTTTATTGAAGGTTTTATGTTTTGTCTTAATGCAGTGGATGGCAGGACCGATTTAGAGCAGGCAGGTAGGGGTTCTATGGTGTGTCTCTCCCTGTCCTTTGGTGACACAGCAGGACCACCCTGATTCAGTTTCTGAGGAGAGTACATTTAAATCAAAACAAGCTTTCTTGATGCAATTTCTCACTGAGTCTTCTCCCACCCCACCTGTAAATGTTGTATTTGTGTTACTTCTCTCTCTCTCTCTCTGATCTTCAGTCCATCCTTCCTTCTCTCTCCCCACACCCCTCATCCACTCACCCCACTTTAGAGCAGAGAAGGGGAACAGAGTCTGATCTTCCCCCAAGTATCCCTTCCTGGAACACTAGATCCTGATACCAGAAGATAGAGGATTTACCCTCCCTGTATCTGAATGACAAAGAGAGGAGAGGATTCCAACCTAGCTAAGAAATAGCTAATCCCTCCTTTCCCAGGGACAGAAGACAGGGATGGGACCTCTCAATCTCCCCTCAGGGTGGGCCCCCATATCCTCTGTTCCAATCTCTGCAGTGGCCAGAGATGAGCGGGAGGGGGGGTGTGCTTATATATATGCAGAGAAGGCACTGAGTGGAGACAATGGACTTGACAGCTTTCCCCATTGGCATGACTAAGGAGAAAGAAGCTCTTAGAACCTACTACAAGCCAGGTATCTCTATGGCAGCCTGCAGACATTGCAGTTCCCAAACCAGGCTTACATGTCAATGTCGTCATTTAGTCAGTCGCAATAAACACATGCAATTTGCAGCAACATGGATGGCGCCGGAAGGGATCATGCTCAGTGAAATAAGCCAGAAAGAAAAAGAAAAATACCGGATGGTCTCACTCATAGCAGGAATCTAGAAAACTTAAATAAGGGACCAGGAAAAAGAATAACTATAAGAAAGAAAATATCAAAATCAACAAATAACTATGAACAAGAGACACTCTATGGGGGGTGGGGCGGGGAAAGGAGGGCTTGGGGTAAAAATAAGGGGGTTTTAATTGTATGGGGAATATAAAAATAAAATTTAAAATTAAAAAAAATAAAGTATGTACTTAGTGTGGAAAAAAAAAAAGAAAATAGGGTGCTCCCAGAGCACCCTAGTTGGATGAGCAAATACGCCATTGGAGTGAAGCTTCTTGAACAAAGAAGAGCATAAGGGCATGGATGTGATTTCAAGAGGGGAGAGTGAGTTTGGCAAAACCACGACCAGTCACATAATATCACATAAATGTTCTTTGGGTTCAAATGAGCATCAACTAACCAAGTGGTATAAGAGGGTGGACACTAAAAGGTAGGACCAACTTCTCCTGTGTCTTGCTGTTCCCTCAGCAACATTTGCAGAGCTTTTGCACAAGAGGTTTCAACCATGGATTGAAAATCTGTTTTTAGTAGACTTTTTAAGACCCACCCCATGGTGACCCTCAAAAATACCCCTTGAATTTGAGAAGGAAGTGTATTTTTTTCTAACCATCAAATATGGCAAAAGTGAGCAAACCTCTTCTCCTTGATTAGGTGACATTAAATGACTCAGGTGACAGGATGGGTTCCTATGATGACATTATGTGATATGAGACTCCCTTGGAGTCTGAGAGCAACCTGAGAGCAAATGTCAGGTTGTGGCCTCTATGTGCTGGGAATGTGGAAGGCTGCAAGTAAATGCTCTGGCTGTGCCAGGACAAACAGTGTTCACCAGTCTTGACCTCAGGCAAGTTCAGAGGTGGTCAAGGACCCCTGTTGCATACCTGGGCCCTGGGACTCGAGCTGGGACTCCTGAGGGCACAGAACTGACAGCACCATCAGAAAATCACATCACACACCCTTGTGCTGACATTGGGGGACCAGGAGGTAGGATTATAAATCTTGTGTGTCTGCTGCTCCCAGTGCAGACTATGTGACATCTGTCTCATGTCTCAGGTGACACATGTAGATACTTTGTAAAGGTCTCACTGATGGTTGTACAATCAAGGAGCCTTGTATAAGATGTACAGGGTCAACCACACAGCCCCTTGGCCACCTGGTTAGTCTCCATAGAGACGCACCCCCTACAGCCAGGGGAAGCAGCTGCCAGCATCACATCAAGAAGAGGCAGGGCCCAGATTGTTATTCTGTGTCTGGGAGCAATGGCCCATCCCCATGTGCTGTGACCCGGCTACTGATGAGCCACTGATATGTGACACCAACCAGCTGGGGGACATCAATGTGAAGGGACCAGCTATTGGGGGGGAAATTAAATAGGTAGCCAGTAAAAGATTTGAAAAAAAAAATTAATGGGTAGATTATGAGAAGTTTGACCTCTTTTCAGGAATTGGCTCTGCCAGATTCTTGTTTACTGAGGTAGGAAATCCCATCAGCTGCCATGTTCAAGCCAGTAAGCCTGGACAGAGGGCGTTTTCATTCATTTCCATTCCAAGTGACTGAGAACCAGGGCACATGTGATGTGAATTTCAGCATAGGGCAGAGAATGAGATGAAATGACCCAACTCCAACAGTAAGGCAAGATGAATTTCTCCTTCCCCTGCCTTGTCTAAGTCAGACCCTCCCAGGCTGGTTGTTGTCCACGCAGTTAACTTTACTGTGTCCACTGGTGCAAATGCCAGTCTTGTCAGGACACTTCCAGAGACACAAAACAATCATGGTGAGTCCGGGCCCTGCAGGCCCACTCTAGCTGACATCACAGTGACCATTCCTCTTGAGACGCTGGGGATGGGACACTTGCCAGAACATGTCATTTTCCCTTATTCTAGTCCTGAATGAAATGTGTCCTGCCACACTGAGGGCTTCAATTCTGCCCTCCAGTTTCATCCTACCTCTACCAGTGGGTGCCTTATCACCAGTTTTAGACCCTGAGGTAATTCTCAAGTTTGCAGTGAAGAAACATTGAATGGGAAATAAATCAAGTAGAAAGATTTCATTAGGAAAAAAAAAAAAAAGTTATAAGAAGGAAGCCAAAGAGAACTTTCTCAAATGGTGAAAGAAAATATATGGCAAGAAGAAGAGAGAGCTCAATAGATTTGAATGGCCCAATGGGGAGAAGGAGGTGAATGTGAGATAATGGCTGGTGTTTTTAAATTTTATGTAATACAGTGTTTAGAAATTTTCTTAGCTAATGATGCCATTTTTCTGAGATACTATATGGGCCACCAGCCAACCTTGTCGTCAATAACCAGCTGAGCCTGTGAGACGATGTGTGTTGCCTAGTGGTTTGTCTTCCTGCCTCTCGGGATTGTATAAAGAGGCCTCCTGTGGCCATCTGGGTGGGCAGGTGCTTCCTGCACTGACTTCATGGGGTGCTCTTCCCTGTGTCTTTTTGGAGCTAGGAGGATAGTCAAGCTACTTGGGATCTTTCTTGACATTCGTTAGATCAAAATCTTTCCTTACCGAGCTCTCTCTCTTTCTTCTATTTGGGGAGCAGGAGGTGAACTCCTGGTTTGGAGGATGTGGAGGGAGGGGCTGGAGAGAGGCGGGGCTGTCCTAACACCAGTCTGGGGACCTCAAATTTCAGTCTCTCCGTCACATGCGATATTTGATGTTCTGACTGCAACCAATTGTCATCTTTGTGGACACATTTCAAGATCCTTCTTTGGTTTCTTCCACCCATGACTGTTAGCAGAATGTCCACTGAAGAACATTGCTCCCTGGGCATTTTTTCACATTTCTTTCTCTCTCCTCAATCCCCACACACAATCCCACTAGTAGGAGTAGACTCACCCTGATCATTGAGCATGAAATTAAACAAAAATACAATCATGTCTTTTGCATCCTACTCTCCAAAGAAGTTATATTGCAAGTGTAGTCCTAGGTCATACTATAAGCATCACAACATTGTTAACCTACTTTTACCTGAAAAGTCCAATCCCAAGCCTATAGATTTCCACCTGAAGTGTCACTTTTTAATGTTGGAGTCTGTATTGGAACCACAGCCCCCCATGCCAAACTAGAGGCTCCCCAAACAATAGGACCATGACTGTGGAGGAGTCCAGTTCACTCATCCTCTAAGTGCTATGCTCATTCTGTCTGCTCACTTTTAAAAATATAACTAGTCACCTTTAAAGAAAATTATGGAATCTCCTTCAAGGCAGAGACCCAAGAGAAGTATTTTCTGTCTCCCCATCTCTTGAAAATATCATGATACTTGTAGATTCCCCACATACTCAATCATGGCAGTTACTGGAACAAGGGCTACCAAAAATACTAGATTTTCTCTACAGAGACTCACATCCTGTGGGCAGACAGATTGGGAACAGTGTTACACTGACACGTGGCTGGGACACAGGATATATTACAGAGGAAACTTGGCCCCACTGTGGAGAACAGCCCTAGCTCCATGCCAAGTATCCCGTGTCACTGAAGAAATGGAAAGCGTAGTGTGACTAGGATCACATAAAAAATGTCAAAAAAAAACTATGATTGCACCCTGAAAATAAGACAGCATCTTTGTGGCTTTCCCCATGAGAGGAGAATGGCTAAGAGAGAACTGAATTGTTAAGGCCACGTGCATGAAGCCCCATCTGCACAGGGTGAGAGAAGCATCTTGAGTGCAAGGAGGAGCCTGTGAGCACAGGGCAGGTTCTTGTCCATGAACTTCCCCATGAACTTGCACCACTGTGGAAAGTATTACTCTTCGTATATGAGCAACAGTGATACTCAGCCTCATCCTCAGGCTTGAGACCAGAGATGGTTAAGGTGGCCGTGTTGCCTGACCTGGATCCAGAGAAGCGATCAGGAATTCCAGAGGGACGAGAACTGGTTTTATAGATCAGGAGTTTGTGGGTGATGCCTGGGAGTTTTTGGTACCAGGATACAGTATAGGCATCTTTACCGATGTCATTGCTGGTCCCAGCACAGGAGATGGTGACCGATTGTTCCAGTGCCCCTGACACTGAGGCAGGCTGATTCAAGGCTGACTGGGCCCAGGATGCTACAAATGAAAAAAGCAAACTCAAGTGAGGTCAGTGGTAGGCCCAAGAGAGACTGAGGGGAGGCAGAAGCTCAGCACAGATGTCCCCTCTGTATGATCCCTGAAACCCTCACCTGTGGCCTGAATGAGGAGGGTGAGAAGAAGCACAGTCCAGGCCATGATGGGAACAAGCCAAGATCTCTGCCTTCTGACACCCAAACTGGGCCTGGCTCTTATCTACTTCCCCTGCCTCATAGGAGGGAGGCGTGTCCATGCAAATCTGCTTCCTAAAAACTGTTTCTCAGCATCTTCCTCTGACCTGAGCCTTGATTCTAAACACTTCAGTATCCCTGTGCAGTTAAACTTATTCAAGGGTTTAAATATATATATATATATATATATATATATATTCTGTATCAGGACAGTGTTGGCTGTTGGCAGAACCCTGGAAATCAAGCTAGTCCTTGAGTACATCTATGTGGGAGCCATGGTGTGGATGACACAGGAATCCCCAGACTTGCCATGGAGAAGAGGATGAGGAGAGCATCCCAGGCTCACCCAGTTAGGCACATTTAATTTCTCTTCCTCTCCGAGACCAGAGGCAGAGCTGGGATCTCTTACTTGGTCTCAAATTCTCTTGGTCCTTCTCGGCTATCAGGTCCTCATCTCTCACTCTGCCCTTGCTCTGTAGTGGTTAGAGGTTGGGAGATCTGGATTAGCACTTCAGAAGAGGATTTACTGGGACATAATACATATTGGACACCCCTTCCCTCAGATCCCACTTAGGAGCAGCTCAGAAAGCAGTTATGGGACTTTAACCAGGAAGAACAGCAAGAAACTGACCTTTCCAAGAGCACCAAGTACCAGGCAGTGCCATTGAGCAAAGGCTCAGGACCCAAGCTCTGGTCTGAGTCCTGGCCCCCTCCTTCCCCTCCCAGAATACCAGGCCCCCCATCCTTATTTATACCATTCATCATCCTTTCCTTCAACTTTCTTCAGAAAAAATGCAACACCTGGAAATTAAATGATCCAGGTGCTAACCCTGAGGAAACTTTCTTGTCCCAGGAATATCTTGTCACAGGGTGAGGGTAATGAGGTGGGTGTCAGTTCAGGGCTGAGGAAACATTAGACATCAAATCAATCCCACCCCCACAGGTCACACAGATGAGAAACATGGGCCCACGTGCAGATGACCTAATTCTCAAAGTGGTTAAAAATAAATGTAAGAAAGAGAGAGAGCTGAGTAAGGAAAGACTTTGATCTAATGAATGTCAAGAAAGATACCAGTGTACGAGAAGGGCCTGGGGTTTGTGTGGGCCTCATGGCCCAGCTCCAGGGATCCCTCATCAGGGCAAGTCTGTGTGACACACAGGACATGGTCGGGGGAGTCTTCCTCTTCCTGTTTGTGAACAGTGAGGAAACCTCTCCTCAGAGCCTGTCTTTCCTGAGACATTCTCTTCATCCTCAGACAGAGATACTAGACCTAGGATATTTTTCTGGAAGCAGTGTTTTGGGACAAAGACTGAATTCAGGGCTTTTGATTTTTTTTTTTAACAGAAATGGAAATATTCCCCAGAAGATGGACTAGGAGTGCTATGGAATCCATGATATCTAAGTAAAATATTTAATGTCCTTGTTCATACCACGTGAGAGTCATTTTCAGGATCAGGTGTAAGGGGAATCCCAGCCAGGAAGAGAAAGTTGAAGTGGTGGCCTCTGGGGCTAGGGTGGGATAGAGGGGAGGGAAAATGTGGTTGGCAGAAATGACAGTTCTGAATGTGAGATAATGGCTGGTGGGCAGGTGCTTCTTGTACTGACTTCATGGGGTGCTCTTCCCTCAACTCTGTGTCTTTTTGGAGCTAGGAGGATAGTCAAGCTACCTGAGGGTCTATTTAAAAGCCTTCTTTAAGCAGAGGCTTCTATTTAAAAGAGGGTTTTTAGGGCCTCCCTGGTAGTGCAAGGGGTTAAGCAATGCACTATGAAGCAATCCACAGCCTCTGCAGCAAGAGTTTGATCCCCAGCCAACCAGAGAGAAATCCACATGGCGAAGCAGACCTCTCCTATCTCGCTAGCTGCTCCCCTCCAGTGTATTTCAGTCAGTCTGCCTGTTCTGTTCCCCACTCTGTCTCTGGTGAAACTTCTCACCCCCAGCAGCTTGTGTGTACCAGCTCTTGTGTACATAAATAAATAAATATTAAAAAAAAATAAAAGAGGGCTTTTAAATGCTTCTTTTTATGCCTATAGATTATGATGCTGGCACAGTAAGGTGAACATGACAAATTATGACCATGATAGACACAAAAGCAGATGAACCAACAAATTTCACATCATATGGCTAATACCTACAGACTAATATATGTAAATTCAAAAAAAGTTAACAATTAGTGCCAGAATTCTATCTTTTGGGATGAATTAAAATATGATATTCATTAAACAATAATAATTATTGATAGAATATATAAATGCATATAATAAAATATATAATTTATATTGATATATATTATATATTGTATATAAATAAAACTTTCAATTATGCAATTGCAGCTGATCAAATATTCATGGATGGATAAATGCCAGTACCCTGGATGCTGATTCTCTCAGTGAAATGCATGATAAACTCTTAGCCATGGAGAAAACTAAAAAATTTAAAATGATCTCTATAAAAATCGAGCTTTCTCTCACATTTAAAACATGTGTACATATATGTGTAGAAGAACAAGTGATGATTTAATTTTCTGAGATGAAATAGGGAGCTGGTCCTTTAGCTTTTGTTTCACATGCAAGACAAAATCAATCAAGTAGCTCCAGATCTCACTTTGGAGCAATCTGTACACTGAACATCCAGATTAGATTATGCTTTTCATATTAAATCTCCAATTACAGAAACATTAATTTCTCAGAAGTAAATTGTAGTTCCTTGTTAAAGGAGAAACACTGAACACAGCAACAGGGACTCACTCTATCTCCAACACACAAGTAGATTCATCATGAAGTTCTTTATGATGCAACCAAGGTGAAGGAGCAAGTCTTATGTAAGATGTGCAGGGACAACCGGACAGAAACCCCTTGGCCACCTGGGTAGTCTCTATAGAGATGACCCCACACACACACACAGGCAGTGGCAGCCACAACCAGCCTCACATAGACAAGAGGCAGAACTCAGGACATTATATTATGTCTGGGAGCAGCAGCCCTCATGTGCTGTCACCGGGCCACTGATGAACCCATGATGTGTGACACTGATGTCAGTGTGAAAGGACTGGCTGTGACTAGGGAAATTAAGAAGGTGGCCAGTAAAAGATTTGAAAAAATAATTAATGGTGGATTATGAGGAGATTGACTTCTTGTCAGGAACTGGGTTTTACCTGATCCTGGTTTCCTGAGGTGGGGAATCCCATCAGCTGCCAAATACAAGTTAGGGAGCCTGCACAGTAGGTGTTTTCATTATTTCCAGTCCAAAACCAGGGGACATGTGATGTGAATTTTAGCATTGGGCAGAGAATGAGGAGAAATGACCCAGCTCCAGCAGTGAGGCAAGGGGAGATGATGAACTTCTCCTTTGCCTGCTTTGTCTAAGTCAGACCCTCCCAGGCTGGATTTGTCCAAGCAGTTGACTTTACTGAGTCCACTGGTACAAATGCCACTCTCGGACAGGACACTGCCACAGATGCAGAATAATCACGGTGAGTCCGGGCCATCCTTGGCCACCAAGCTGACAGCACAGTGACCATTCTCTGAGGTGCTTTGGGAGGGGGCCTTTGCCATATATACTATTTTCAAAGCTAAAACTGAGAAAGTTCTGATCTCGTCCTGAATGAAATGTGTCCTGTCACACCAGGGGCTTCAACACCTCCCTTCAGAATCATCCTACCTTTCCCAGTACGTGTTTCCTCATTAGCTTGTGGCCCTGATGGTCTCACTCATACCAGGAATTTAGAAAACCTAAATAAGGGACCAGGAAAAAGACTAATTAATACAAAGTAAAAATCAAAATCAACAAGCAACTATAAACCAGAGACACACTACGGGGAGGTAGAGGGGAGAGGAAGGATTAGGGTCAAAATAAGGGGGGGGGTGCAATTTTATGGGGAATATAACCAAAATGAAAATGCATACATTGTGCAAAGATGAAAAATGATGTAAGAATTATATAAAATAAAATATTAAAAAAACATTCGATGGGAAATCAAATCATGTCAATTAGGAAGTTTCATATATATATATATATATATATATATATATATATATATATTCACACACACACACATGCACACACATCATGAGGAGGAGGAGGCCAAAGAGGACTGTTTTTCAAAATGGTAAAAGAAAAATATATGGCAGGAAGGAGAGGGAGCTAAGTAGGTTTGAATGACCTAATGGGGACCAGGAAGTGAACTCCTGGTTTGGAATAGTGGAGGGAGGGCCTGGAGTTTGTAGGGCTATCCTAACAACACCAGCCCTGGGAACTCATATTTCAATTCTGTTATATGGGACAGCTGATGTGCTGATGCAACCAATTTTTATTTTCATGGACACTTTCAAGATCCTTCCTTGGGGATCTTGGGTTTCTTTGCCTTATCATTTGTTAGCAAGATATCAGCTGAAGAACATTGCTGCATGAGCCTATGTTCGCATATCTTTCTCCTGTTTCATACCACATAAATCCCAGTAGTAGGATTACATTCACTGTGTTCATGGTGGTGGAACTGAATAAAAACAGAATCATGTCTATTGCATCCATCCTTAATTCCAAACAAGTTATACTGCAGGTTTAGGCTTATGACATAATTAGATGTAATAAACCAAGGAAGAGAGAAAAACACAAATTTGCAAGCAAGAATGAAACATGACACATGTTAACTGTCTTTGACTGAAGAGTCCAATCCAACTCTGAGGAAGCTCCATCACTGCTGGTCCTGCACCTGCAGTCCCCCGTGCAAAGCTGGAGGCTCCACAGTCAACAGGAACAATGACTGTGGAGGATCCTGTTCACTTGTCCTCTAGTCACTGTTTTTGTCCTATTGCTCCCTTTTCACAATTATACTAGACTCCTTTAAAGAAAAGTATGGTTGCTTCTTCAAGGCAGAGATACTTGGACAGATTCCCAGACATTCTAGAAGAGTCATGGGTAGTTATTGGAACAGGGGGTACAGCAAATGCTATTCTTTCTCCACAGAGTCTCACATCCTGAGGGCAGAACAGACTGGGAGTGCATTACACTGCCATGTGGTTGGGACATGGGATAATTTCCAGCATCTCCAGCGCTAGAAACCCACCTCTACTGAGGAGAACAGCCCAAGTTCCATGCCAAGAGTCTTCTGTCACTGAAGAAATGGAAATTGTAGTACATTCTAGGATCAATCACAAATGTCAAGAAAACTATCATTGCACCCTGAAAATAAGACAGCATCTTTCTGGATTGCACTATGGTGAAGAGAGGAGCTAAGGGAGAACTAAATACTCAAGGCCACGTGCATGAAGCCCCAACTGCACAGGGTCGGGGAAGCATCTTCAGTGCAATGGGGAGGCTGTGAGCACAGGGCAGGTTCTTGTCTCACTTCCCCATGAACTTGCACCACTGTGGTAAGTACCACCATTCCTGTATGAGCCACAGTGATACTCAGCCTCATCCTCAGGCTTGAGACCAGAGATGGTCAAGATGGCCGTGCTGTCTGACTTGGAGCCAGAGAAGCGATCAGGGATCCCTGAGGGCCGGGAACTGACATCATAAATCAGGAGCTTGGTTGCCTTGCCAGGGAGCTGCTGGAGCCAGGACACATGATTATAACCCCCAATGTCATTGCTGGTCCCAGCACAGGAGATGGTGACTGACTGTCCCAGAGCCCCAGACACTGAGGAAGGCTGATTCAGAGCAGACTGGGCCCAGGAACCTGAAAAGAGGAAAAACACACTCAGGTGAGTTCAGTCTGGGCCCAGATGAGCCTGAATATGAGTAAAGGTGTCAGCTGTGATGTGTTCAGTGTCCCTTCCCTGGAGGCCTCACCTGTGGCCTGAGCGAGGAGAGTGAGGAAGAGCACAGTCCAGGCCATGCTGGAGACAACGCAAGACTCTAGCATCTGACACCCAACCCTTACCCTTTCTCACCCTGATCTCTCTTATCCCCTCCCTTGCCCAAGAAGAGGGAGGGGCCTCTATGCAAATCTAGTTCCTGCTTCTTAGATTCAAGTGCCAGTTCACAAATGTGTTCTTTTGAAATTTCATGTATTTTCTTCCATGTCACCTCTTCCACAGGTAAGTTCAACCAAGCTCTCCAAACCTGGACACGAAGTCACAGAAATTTTGTGAAGATATATCTCCCTCTCTTTAAAATTTGTAAGTCTATTCTTTAATTCTCTTTTTTCTTTCCCTTGCATTAATACTGATTTAAATTTCAAGTGAAAAGTACAGTTATAAGGTTCAGTTTCCATCTGGGATGTAGAGAGCATGCAACACCATTGTAGTGTCAGGAATGGGCCACAATGCAGGTTTTCTAAGATCCCATGCAGAACGGGTAAAGGAGGAGTCAGAGTCCTGGAGCCCTCAGTGGCTTTTTTGCAGGCTTTTATTGGGGTTTACCAGGTACACAGCAGGCAGGGGTACTGGTGAGCGGGGAGGCTGGCAGCCCTCCCAGCCCCCAACAAGTCTTCATTCTGTCTGGGCTCTTCGGCGTTCTCTCTCTCTCCCTCCGGCTTCTGCTGCTTCTGTTTCTCTTTTGGCTTCTACTGGCGTCCCCGTGATGCCGCCCTTAAAAGCCCAGTCTTAGCCCAGGTGAATCCCATCTACCTATGCCCACATCCTACTCCAGGTGCCCGCAATCAGGCATGCATTCAGGACTGCAAGGATCCATCATCTATCCTGATGGCGGGAGGGCAGAAAAGCCTGACATTTTTCCTTACCCTACAACCATTCTCCTCTGAAAGCAGCTATAAGCCTTAGAGCTCTCAGGGAGCAACTATTTGAGTCCCTACAAAAAGGGAATCAGAGAAGGCACTGGGAGAGACACCTGTGTTTAAAGTAACAGCCAAACAGCAGTTTGTTTCCCCTTTTTCCTTTTGTATCCCATGGTCTGAGCTCGAAATAGCACAGCACATATGTGACATCTGAGTCCTCCTTCTTCCTAGGAAAAGCTCAGAGTAAAAGCTCTAGGACTTCAAGATGAATCACAACTAAGGTCCATAAACACAGGCCCGTGCTGCCCCCTGGTGGCCACAGATGGTTCATCCTAAAAGCCATGGATAAAGTAGAGCATGAGCAGAAAAAACTGCACTGTCCTCTCTCTAGCTCCTGGTTCTTCCCTCCCAGTTGTAACAGAACTTATGCCCTAGTGCCCTCCACGTCATTCTCACTTTCCCTTTTATTTTGAAACAAACATCTAAACAAAAAGCAGAAAAGAACACCAATTATATGATTTCTGCAATTAGCCCACATTACAAATAAGCACATAGGAGATACCTATTTAAAGGACAAAATATACAGGTAACTAGTAAACAAAAGGAAGCTATGCTATATATGATAATATTTTAAAAATCAAACTAATGGGCTGGAAAATTACCAGGGTAATAGAAGCATATAATATAGACATCAAGGTTCAAATCATCAAACCTAAAAAAAAAACCTTCAAGTCTATGAAGATTAAACAAATAGAATGAAATGAGAGATGGAAAAATCTACAAATATAAAATAAGATTTCATCAGCACGCTTTCTTTGATAGTACAATTATACAGGAATTAACATGAAAGGATTCAGCACCAACATGATCCAAGTTAACACAATTGGCATATATAGAAAAGGTCATTAAAAATCACAGCAAAATTCATACTTTTACTTTTTCACAAGAATAGTCATCAAATTAGGATGTATCTTGAAAGATTAAATGAATTCTATTTTGTTATAACCATGATAATCTTACAAAATATACTCTAGACCATTGTGGAATTAAGCGGGAAGTCAATGGAAAAAATACATAATTTTTCCATACTCCTGGTGATTTTAGTTGAATTGCATCTCAAAAACAAACAAACATTCAATAGCCATAATTTAAACCCCCCAATCAGGAAATGAGACCTAGTTTGATAAAGGGTCTTTGCAATGTAATCGAATTAAGACAATGTAACACTTATTAGGGTGGACCCTAACCCAATATGACCGGTGTCCTAAGAGGAAGAAAAGAAGAAACACAGGGCCTCCCTTGTGGCACAAGGGGTTAAGACACACACTGTGAAGCTATCCGCAGTCACTGCAGCACAAGTTCGATCCCCGGTCTGGAGGTGACCCACATGGCGCAGCAGACCTCTTCTGTCTCACCCGCTGCTCCCCTCAGCAGTGTACTTCAGTAAATCCGCTGTTCCATTCCCCGCCCTGTCTCTGGTGAATCGTCTCACCTCCCACACCTCCGGCCTGTACCACAGTTCTTGTATGCATAAATAAATAAATCTTTTTTAAAAAATGAAGAAGAAACACAAACAAGTAGGAGAGAGAATGCCACAGGGAGTTGAAAGCCAAGATTGAACAGTGACATTTGTAAGTCAAGAACTGTGTTTGAATTGCCATTAATCACCTGATTAAGAAGGAGTAAACCTTCTTCCCCCTTTTTAACAGAGGGAGTATAACACTACAGATAGGTTGATATTTGACTTGCTAATCTGAAGAAGTGGGAGACAATACATTCCTGTTATTTTAAGGACAGATTGGGGCTCTTTGATATGGCAGGTCTAAGACACTAATACAACTTAGTAATTAATGACATGCGTTTAAATATTCCATGGTGAAGGCAGGAATTGTCTCTCACTCGATCCTTGATTCCTGAGGTAGGAAATCCCATCAGCTGCCATTGCAACCTAGGGAGCCTGGACAGTATTTTCTTTCATTTTCAGTTCAAGAGCCTGAGAACCAGGGGACATGTGATGTGCGTTTCAGCATAGGGCAGAGAATGAGATGAAATGACCCAGTTCCAGCAGTGAGACAAGGAAAAGCAATGAATATCTCCTTTCCCTGCCTTGTCTAACTCAGATCCTCCCAGACTGGATTTGTCCACACAGTTGACTCTACTGAGTCCACTGGTACAAACGCCAGTCTCGGACAGGACACTGGCACAGACGCAGAACAATCATGAGGAATTCGTGAGCTGCGTGGCCCACTCTAGCTGACATTATAGTGCCCATTCCTCTTGAGGCACTTGCCAGAACATACCATGTTCAGAACTAACACTGGTAAAGTTCTGGTGAAATGGAAAGAGGGGGTCATGGCCTGGTGCCTCTGGGACTGAAACCTGCCTTTGTTCACCTGCTTGGACATTTCAGTTCTAATCTGCATCTCTATATATGAACATGCAATTATGATGAATTGTAACAGGCACTCCAGTAAGAACTGGAAGTGTTATGATGAAAAACAGAAATGTTGGTGATTCCTCAGGAAGGGGGACATGCCCACCAGAAATCTCTTCCCTTGGAAGAAAAAAGAGCCTTTTGGGAAACTGCCCTTGCTAGTGGGGAGTCAGCGTCCTAGGGAATGATTCCAGGAATGGAATCCAGGATGGAAATAGAGGATTCCACACACCACAGATGCAACTTAAATTCTTTCCTGCAGTTTCTCTGGATACGGGGTCAACCCAGAGGGATATTTAAAAACAAGGCCCATGTACTCTATCCTCAGCCCTCAGCAACATTTTCAACTTCCTCAGCTGCCTTTCCTTTTTAGTACTATTTTCTATTTAACATATTTATTTTTTATTTATTGATTTCCTTACATTATTTTCTTTTTTGTACAGTGATTGGTGTCTCGCACAGAAGCACTCCCTGAAGGTCTCCTATACCCATCTCACTGTGCCCATCCCACAGTCCCTTTTACTCTCCCCTCATCATTTTTTTAAAAGATTTATTTGTTCATTTTTACACAAGAACCAGGGCACAGGTCAGATGCGTGGGAGAATGAGAGGATTCACCAGAGACAGAGCAGGGAACAGAACAGGCAGATTGACGAAATACACTGCTGAGGGGAGCAGCGGGCGAGACAGGAGAGGTCTGCCACACCATGTGGGATCCCCGCTGGCTGGCCGGGATCAAACTGGCGCTGCGGAGGCTGCGGACAGCTTCAGAGTGCTGTGCTCAACCGCCTGCGCCACCAGGGGAGGCCCACTTTCCTCAACTCTTTTAACAAATGCCCCAAACAGACCAAGGGATCAAAAAGTTGTGACATATATAGACCCAATAGAATACTACTCTGTGATTTAAAAAAATGTGAAATCATGCCATTTGTGGCAACATGGATGGAGCTGTAAGGGGTTATGATAAGCTATTAAGTCAGAAGAAAAAAGAGACGCATCAATTGGTTTCATTTATATGTGGAAATTAGAGACACCAGAAAAAAAGTTCAGGAGAAGACAAAATTTGCAAGCTCATCATAGTTCTGCGGCAAACAGCCTCTCTTCCCTCAGTAACAATGTGCAGAAGAGTAAGCACAAAGAAAGACCGCACTGACTCAGCAGGGCAGACCTGAGTGAAGAAGGAGATGTCGTGCTGGACAACTGAGTCCAGGCTGGGCTGCACAGGCGTGGGAGACCAGAGCATGCACGGGGAGAGAAGCATCTTGAGTGCAAGGAGGAGCCTATGAGCATAGGGCAGGTTCTTGTCTCACTTCCCCATGAACTTGCACCACTGTGGTAAGCACCACCACTCCTATATGAGCCACAGTGATACTGAGCCTCATCCTCAGGCTTGAGAACAGAGACGGTCAAGGTGGCCATGTTGCCTGACCTGGATCCAGAGAAGCAATCAGGGATCCTGGTGGACCAAGAAGTAGTATGATAAATTAGGAGTTTGGTGGTGGTGCCCGGAAGCTGTTGGTACCAGGATACAGTATAGGAATTATACCCGATATCATTGCGGGGGCCAGCACACGTGATGGTAACCGATTATCCCAGTGCCCCTGACACTGAGCAGGCTGAGTCAGGGCAGACTGGGCCCAGGATGCTGCAAATGAAAAGAACAAACTCAATTGAGGTCATTGAGGACAGTGGTGGGTCCAAGAGAGACGGAGGGGAGACAGAATTTCAGCACAGATGCCCGCTCTGTATGACCCCTGGAGACCTTACCTGTGGCCTGATTGAGGAGGGTGAGGAGAAGCACAGGCCAGGCCATGATGGAGACAAGCCCGGATCTCTGCCTTCTGACACCCCAGCCTGGGCGTGGCTCTCATCTCCTCACCCTGCCTCACAGAGGGAGGGGTCTCCATGCAAATCTGCTTCCAACAAACTGCTGACCTGCACCTTGATTCGCAACACTTCTTATGCAATTAAACTAATCAAAGGGCTTAAACTACATTCATATACATATACTATATCAGGAAAGAGTTGGCTTTTGACAGAACCTTGTAAATCAAGCCAGTCCTTGGGTTCCTGGACTTGCTGGGGGCGGGGGGAGGGGAACAATATGAGGAGAGAATCCCAGGCTCCCTTGGTAGGCACATTTAGTTCCTCTTCCGACACCAGAGGCAGAGCTGGGATCTCTTACTTGGTCTCAAATTCTCTTGGTCCTGCTCAATGATCAAGTCCTCATCTCTCACTTTGTCCTTGCTCTGTAGTGGTTTAAGGTTGGGAGATATGGATTAGCACTTCTAGAAGAGGATTTACTAGGACACAACATATAATGGACATCCCTTCCCTCAGATCCGACATAGGAGTAGCTCAGAAAGCAGTAATTGGAAATTTAACCAGGAAGAATAGCAAGAAACTGACCTCTCCAACAGCAGCCCTTGCTGACCCCTGGAGGCAGAGATAGTGAAGGCCAAGTACCAGGCAGGGCAACTGAGGAAAGGCTGAGAGCCCAAGCTCTGGTCTGAGTCCTGGCCCTCTCCTTCCCTTCCCAGCATACCAGGTCCCCCAACCCTGCTAATACCAATCATCATCCTTTCCTTCAATCACCTCCAGAATAAAATGCGTCACCTGGAAAGTCAAATGTCCCAGGTGCTAACCCTGAGGAAACTTTCTTGCCCCAGGAAGATCTTGTCACAGGGTGAGTATATGAGGTGGGTGGCAGTTCAGGGCTGAGGAAACATTAGACAGCAAATCAATCTCACCCCCACAGGTCACACAGATGAGAAACATGGGCCCACGTGCAGATGATCAAATCCTCAAAGTGGTTAAAAAATAAATAGAAGAGAGAGAGCTCAGTAAGGAAAGATTTTGATCTAACTAATGTCAAGAAAGATCCCAGTGTATGAGAAGGGCCTGGGGTTTGTGTGGGCCTCATGGCCCAGCTCCAGGGATCCCTCATCAGGGCAAGTCTGTGTGACACACAGGACATGGGAGGAGGGGAGGTCTTCTTCTTCCTGTGAATGAACAGTGAGAAAACTTCTCCTCAGAGTCTGTCTTTACTGAGACATTCTTTTCATCCTCTAGAGAAAGATGTTAGACCTAGAGGGGTGTAAAGGCAGGACTGGCCACAGTGCAGGTTTTCTGATCCCATGCAGACCGGATAAAGGAGGAGTCAGAGTCCTCAGTGGTTTTTTGCAGGTCTTTTATTGGGGTTCACCAGGCATATGGCAGGCAGGGGTGCTGGCTGGCAGGCTGGCAGGCCTCCCAGCCCCCAGCAAGTCTTCACTCTATCTGGGCTCTCTGGCGTTAGTTCTGCTTCTTCTCGGCTTCTCTTTCGGCTTCTGCTGCTGCTTCTCCTGCTGCTACTGGCGTCCCCGTGATGCCATCCTTAAAAAGCACAGTCTCAGCCCAGGTGAATCCTATCTACATCTGCCCACACCCTATTCCAGGTGCCCGCCATCAGGCATGCATTCAGGACAAGGATCCATCATCTATCCTGATGGTGGAAGGGCAGAAAAGTCTGATATTTTCTTTACCCTACAGTCCACCCCATCAGGGTTTTCTGCCATACAGTCTATACATATATATACAATTTTCTTATCAAACATAAACAATGCAACCATGGCCCACAAAAGCAAACACATCACAATATAACAAAATACAACAGAACACAAATAAGTCCAGGCAGGGCACCAACCTAGTGCAAAAGACAATTATTGGTACCAGCAGATGAGCCACCACATCTGCTGCCGAAGGCACTGCTCATACGAGAGAGGGGAATCACTCACGACATCTACTATAACACGCCAGGAGCTGTCAGTCTTCCTGGCCTTCTCTGGCTGTAGTCTTGGCTACAAGCCACACACAGCATCCACCCCCAGGATGCACTAGCTCTGGGATTGGCAATTTTATTCTGTCGGGGTAATCGCCAACCCTCGGGGTTTCTGTCTGCAGTCGCTCCAACACTCGGTTTTCATAGCCACCAATGCGACTCGCAGACCCCTGCACTCAGGCCAACCCACTGCACAAGCACATGGGTCGGGGATCCAAGCTCTACATGCGGCTTGGGCTCCACCCCAAGCCACATTCCCCACCCGTCCTCCAAGGACGGGTTCCTCAGCTCTTCACCCTCACTCAAGAATGAACAGGGCATCACCCACAGGTGATTTTACAAGACTCACAGGGCTTCAGCATACTCAGGCTGCGTAACAGCCACTCAGGGCTTCTCAACTTAGCATCAGCACCAGCTTTTGCCTTCTCAGTTGGCTTTTCTCCTCTGCCTGGCTGCTGGGCATACACAGGCTGCTTTTGGCCATCTAGGCCCACTGGCCACCCCCAGGGCCCCAAAACATATCAACCTGCAAGGTCCTCCGCCTTCTGGCGGGATTGTCAGTACAAGTTCAATTGTCAGTCCATGTCCAGCAGTCGAAGTCCATTGGCCTCTCCCTGCATCAGCACTGGCAAGCTCTGAATCGTGGTCCTCTCCTCCCCAACAATTCTGCTGCCTCAGGGATCATTGGCTGGTCCTTTCGGGTGTCGTTGGCTGGTTCTCTCGGGCGTCTCCTTCACGCCAGGTCTCATCCTGTAGCTCCTGGACGTTGTCCACCTTCTGTGCCGCCATGGCGCCTCCAGCGTCATCACAGGCAAACAGTCTGTTCTCCTTAGTCCCTCCAGGTCTTCGGAGGGCTCCAATACCCGTCTACATGGATCCTGCCGACTTACGCCAATTGTAAAGGCAGGACTGGGCACAGTGCAGGTTTTCTGATCCCATGCAGACCGGGTAAAGGAGGAGTCAGAGTCCTCAGTGGTTTTTTGCAGGTCTTTTATTGGGGTTCACCAGGCATATGGCAGGCAGGGGTGCTGGCTGGCAGGCTGGCAGGCCTCCCAGCCCCCAGCAAGTCTTCACTCTATCTAGGCTCTCTGGCATTAGTTCTGCTTCTTCTCGGCTTCTCTTTCGGCTTCTGCTGCTGCTTCTCCTGCTGCTACTGGCGTCCCCGTGATGCCATCCTTAAAAAGCACAGTCTCAGCCCAGGTGAATCCTATCTACATTTGCCCACACCCTATTCCAGGTGCCCGCCATCAGGCATGCATTCAGGACAAGGATCCATCATCTATCCTGATGGCGGAAGGGCAGAAAAGCCTGATATTTTCTTTACCCTACAAGGGGTTTTCTGGAAGCAGTGGTTTGGAGGCAAAAAGACTGAAATCAAATCAGGGATATTTGACATTTTTTCAACAGAAATGGAAGATGGACTAGGAGTGCTGGGGAAGACTTGTATTTTGAGGAAATTATTGTAGTGTCAGTGTTTATACACATGACAGCCATTTCCAGGAAACTGAGTAAGGGATTCCCTGCCAAAAAAGAGAAGACTGAAGTGGTGGCCACCAGAGCTGGTTGTGTGGGAGGGAAAGTGTGGTTGGCAAAAATGATAGTCTGGATGTGAGATAATTGTTTGGTTTTTAAACTTTATATGTGATATTACTTATTCTGAGAAGACATAGGGCTTTTGCTTATATAATGAGGCCTATTTTCTAAGAAAGTAAAATAGCAACCAGTTGTTTTCTTTGTCCTAAATTTCCAGCTCAGCCTGTGAGACAATGCATGTCACCTAGTGGCTTGTCTTCCTATGTCTTGGCATCACTGTGAAGAGGCCTCCTTGGCCATCTGGCCGGGCAGGTGCTTCCTGCCCTGGCTTTATGGGAAGCTCCTCCCTCAGCTTTGTGTCTTTTTGGAGCTAGAAGGACACTCAGGCTCTACCGAGGGTCTATTTAAAATGTTTTCAGATTATGATGCCCACAAAGTAAGAGGTAACATGATACATAATAAGAAAGACAGACACAAAAGAAGATAAACCAACAAATTGCACATCATATAGTTAATAACCTACAAACTAATGTATATAAATTAAAAAGATCACAACAATTAGTGCCAAAATTCTTATCTTTTAAGATGAATCAAATAGGATGGTTCATTAAACAGTAACAATTATTGATAGAATATATAAAAACATATCATAAGAGAAGTTATAGATTTTGTTTATATACTCATATATTTTTTGTATTTTATATATATAAATAAAGTGTCGATATTTGCGATGGTGTTTCATCCCATTTTCAATGGATGCATGAGTGGCCATTGATTGGATGCTGATTCTCTCAGTGAAATGCCTGGTAAACTCTTAACCATGGAGATATTTAAACATTACAAATGATTTCTATGAAAAGTGGAAAAAAGTGCATGCCTGTGTGTGTGTATGTGTGTAAAGAGAGAGAGCAAGGGTTTAATTATCTTAGAAGACATAGGAAACGCTTTCTATAACTTGTCATTTCACATGCAAGACAAGTAGATAAAAGAGCTCCAGAATCTCAGATAGTAGCAATCCTGTTCCCTCAACATCTAGATTATTATTTTCTTTTTAAATCTCCCAATTATAAAAACAATAATTTTTCAAAAGGAAATAATGATCCTTTCTTTTTTTTAAAAATATTTATTTATTTATTTGTTTGTTTGTTTGTTTGTTTATTTATTTATACAAGCACTGGGTACAGTCAGAAGCGCGGGAAGGTGAGAAAATTCACCAGAGTCAGAGCGGAGAGCAGAGCAGGCAGACTGACGAAGTACACTGCTGAGGGGAGCAGTGGGCGGCAGGAGAGGTTTGTGCGCCTGATGGTCCCTTCTTTAAAGGAGAAACACTAAACATGGCAGTGGGGACTCTGTCCTCTAACACACATGTAGACACAATGCAAAGACCCCACTGATGCCAAAGTGCCAGCCTTATGAAAGTTGTCCAGTGGATAACTGGACAGAAGCCCCTACGCCACTCAGTTTGTCTCCATAAAGACGCACCTTCTACAGGCAGGTGCAACCTCTGACCAGCCTCACATTGACAAGAGGCCAGGACCCAGGAGTTTATCCTGTGCCCAGGAGCAAAGGCCCATACCCATGTGCTGTGATCCAGCTACTGATGAGCCCAAAATGTGTTCACCGAACAGCCTGGGGGACTAAGTATGAACATACTGACTGTTGACTAAGGAAATTAAGATGATTGTTAGTAAATGATTTGAAAAAAATAATTAATGGTAGATTATGAGGAGATTGACTCCTCATCAGAAATTAGCTTTCACCAGATCCTTGTTTCCTGAGGTAGAAAATCCCATCAGCTGCCATCTGTAAGTTAGGGAACCTAGACGGGGGCGTTTTCATTCATTTCCAGTCCAAATGCCTGAGAGCCAGGGGACATGTGATATGAATTTCAGCATGAGGGCAGAGAATGACGTGAAATGAGCCAGCTCCAGCAGAGAGACAAGGGAAGAGATGAATTGCTCCTCCCTCTGCCTGCAAGGGACTCTACAAGAGACAGGAAGAGCTCCAGCAACACCCCCTCATTCGGCATGGTAGCCACATGATTCCTAGTGTTCACAGAAAGACTGGAATCCAGGGTAACCTTTTCCTTTTAATTTTTTCCTCTGGGTAGTCTAAGACAAGAAAGCAAAAATATGCCTTGAAGATAGAAATGAACATGTTGGCTGTGGGGACTGTGCTGTATCATTTACTTCTTGTTCCCTGTGAGGTAGCCATGGCCCCATCACATCTGTGATCTTTGCCTCCCAGCTACCTGGGCACACATGTCACAGGAAGGGCACAGCAAGCCAGCAGGGCACACTCAAGGCTGAGGCTTGCAGCAGGAGGGCCAAATGGAAGCCCCAGGGAACCCTAAATACTGTGAAAGCAAACCTCTAAGTTCTACATGATCTTGTACTCATTTCTGAATGCAAATGATGGTTTCTGCTACTAAATAGAATAGAAGACATTTAGGGAAAGAATTAAGAAATAGACTCCAGCCACATCCAGGGGTCTTTAGTGTAGCCCACACCCAGGACAGATCCAAATCAGACAAAGCTTTTCTAAATTATCTGACATGGAAATCACATACGAGAGGAAGCTGTTTAGAACAGACAGCCTGAACCTAACAGGGCAGATCAACTGCTAAAATAAATAATAAATTTTATATTTTAAAGTATTTTTTTTAAAGATTTATATATTTTTATGCAAGAGCTGGGATACAGGCCAGAGGCACAGGAGGGTGAGAGGATTCACCAGAGACAGAGCAGGGAGCCGAACAGGCAGACGACAGAAATACACTGCTGAGGGGAGCAGCGGGCAAGACAGGAGACGTCTGCTGTGCCATGTGGGATTCTCCCTGGCTGGCCAGGATGAAACCCATGCTGCAGAGGCTGTGGACAGCTTCACAGCGCTGTGCTCAACCTGCTGCGCCACCAGGGAGGCCCTAAATTTTGTATTTTAAACAAGGTACATTGCTTTCTAAACTAACATCGTCTCATCAGGAAAAATTTCAAAATGACATGACAGATGAAGAACCAGGAAAATCACAAGGGATGTGGTAAAAACGGAGACAATAACCCCAAACTGACAGATATGTTGGCATTTTCTCCCAAGGACTTTAAACAAGCAATTTAAAGTCAGACCAGTAGCAAGGGAAAACTTAAAATTAAAAGAGATTTCAATGGTCTTATTTAGAAATAGAATATATAGGGAAGCACAAATAAATCTGATTCATGAAATGGATTACAGACCGAAAAATAAGGGAGTGCCCTCCAGTCATAGCACAGAGAGTTAGAAATGATTCAAAAATCAAAAAGGATCAGTGACTTTTACCTTGAACTGGAACCTCTTCAAGTGAACTAACGCACATAAAGTCATAGTTGCCAAAAGAGAGGTCACAGAGGAGCAGACAAAATCCACAGGCCAGGAGTTTGATAAACCCTCAGAAGAAAAAACATGAAGAAAATAATTTCAAGGCCCATTTCAACAAGTTCATGGTTGTGTGGGCCCCCTTCCAGACCCCTTGATGTTTTTAGTGACTCTGAATTCATAGGCAAAATATCAAGCAACTGAGAATCCTCTGTTGATTTCACTATGGACATGGGTAGGGTGGGGGGTGAGTAAAACAAAATTTAGAATAAGCGGAAGTTGTTATATAAGAGAGTGGATGTCTGGATGCTCTTCCTACTAGGCCTGAGGTAACAGCCAGAGTTCCTCAGCCCCTCCTCTGACCGCATGTGTTCTAGCAGAGCATAAATCACATCCTGAGGACCAAGGGAGTTGGAGAGGGTGTCTCTGGATACTGTGGGTGTTATGAGAATCCCATGTGCTTTCGGAATATTGAATCCTAAGACCACGTGCCCCCAGTGATCATCCATCTAAGGCTCCTTCAAGAGAAACTGAGGGCTCATCTTTGAGGAGACTGAGGACAGTGGACCATCCTGAAAAGGTTGTGAGTGTGTCCAGGTTATCTGGTTATGTACAAGGTTATGCACAAGGTTATCTTGATATGACCCATGCACCAACGTCATGATCTGCCAAGAATAAACATCTCTGTTCTGCCAGAGGACAGAGTTGTTCATGGACAACTGCTGGGGAGCAGATGGAGGTAGAAAGCAGCAAATTTGGAGTTCTAACTTCTGACAGTTCCTGCTAGAGACTCGGTACCTAGTCCACATTCAGCAATTCCAGTATCCAATTCTAGGGACCCCTTCACTTCTGCACTTCATTATGGGATATGGAGAGGACTGAGAGAGAAGCAAATTTCCAAGGCCATACTGCTGGAAGCCCCTCCCGACAGAAGAAAAGCATGTTCAGAACAGAAGGTATTCTGTGAGCACAGAGCTGGTTCTGGTCTCACTTCCCCATGAACTTGCACCACTGTGGTAAGTACCACCACTCCTGTATGAGCCACAGTAATACTCAGCCTCATCCTCAGGCTTGAGACCAGAGATGGTCAAGGTGGCCGTGTTGCCTGACTTGGAGCCAGAGAAGCGATCAGGGATCCCTGAGGGCCGGGAACTGACACTATAAATCAGGAGCTTGGGTGTCTTGCCAGGGAGCTGCTGGTACCAGGAGACAAGGTTATAACCCCCAATGTCGTTGCTGGTCCCAGCACAGGAGATGGTGACTGACTGTCCCAGAGCCCCAGACATTGAGGAAGGCTGAGTCAGAGCAGACTGGGCCCAGGAACCTGAAAAGAGGAAAAACACACTCAGGTGAGCTTGGTCTGGGTCCAGGTGAGCCTGAGGGAGATAAAGGGTCAGCCGCGATGTGTTCATCATCCATTCCCTGGAGACCTCACCTGTGGCCTGAGTGAGGAGGGTGAGGAGAAGCACAGTCCAGGCCATGGTGGAAACCAGCCAAGGTCTCTGCCTTCTGATGCTCCAACGGTGGGCTTGGCTCTACCAGATGTCTCCTATCCCCTCCCCCTGGCTAAGAGGAGGAAGAGGGTCTCTATGCAAATCTGCTTCCTGCTTCTTAGATTCAAGTCCTAGGTCACAGATGCATTCCTTTCAACTTTTCTTGCGTTTTCTTCCATGTCACCATTTTACACAGACTAGATAAACCAACCTCCCCAAATCTGGACACTGAAGTCACAGAATCTTTTTGAAAATATATCTTCTTCTCTCTTTAAAACTTGTTAAGACTGTTCTTTAAGGGCCTCCCCAGTGGCACAGCAGTTGAGCGCTGGGTTGCGAAGCTGCCTGCAGCTTCTAGCAGTGCCAGTTCGATCCCCAGCTGCCAGCGAGGGTCCCACAAGGCTCTCAGACCTCTCCTGCTTCCCGCTGCTCCCCTCAGCAGTGTATTTCGTCAGTCTGCCTGTTCTGCTCTCCCCTCTGGCTCTGGTGAATTCTCTCACCCTCCCACACTTCTGACTGTACCCAGTGCTTGTATAATTAAATAAATAAATATTTTTTAAAAGACTTCTTTAATTCTCTATTTTTCCTATTCCCTGGGGTTAAAACTGATTTAAATTTCAAATGAAAAATACAATTATAAGGTTCAGGTTCCATCTGGGATGTAGAGAGCATGCAACACCATTTTTCCTCTAAATGCAGCTAAGCCTTAGAACATGTAGAAAGTAGCTATTTGAGTCCCTACAAAAGGGAATCAGAGAAGGCACTAGGGGAAGAGACTTGAGTTGAAGTAATAGCAAACCAAGAGTGAGTTTTCCCATTTTCCTTCTGTTGTCCAAGCTCAATGCAGCACAGCAAATTTGGGACACAGCAATCCTGCTTCTTTCTAGGAAGAGCTCAGGGAGAAGTAGCTCTTTGGGCAAGATAAATCTTAACGATGACTTTCCCCAAACCCAGGCCCTTGCTGCCCCCTAGTGGTCTTATGATGGTGCATCCTAAGACCCATGGATGCAGCAGAACAGGAGTTGGAAACAGGAAAATCCTGTCCTCTCTCCAGCTCCCAGATCTTCTCTCCCAATTGTAACAGTTTCTGCTTTCTAGTGCCCTCAAAATCACTCTCCCTTTTCCTTTAGCTTAATAAACAGACAACCAAAAATAATCAGAAAAGAAAACCAAAAAAGGTAAAACAAGGAAAACTAAAAAATACTGTTAAAAGAAATAGAAGAAGACACAAAGAAATGGAAAAATATTCCCTGCTCATGGATCAGAAGAATTAAAATCATAAAAATGGTCATCCGACCAATAGCAATTTACAGACTCAAAGCAATTCCATAAAAATCTCAATGACATTATTCAAGAACTAGAACAAATAATGATGAAATTTGCATGAAAACCCAAAAATCCCCCAAATAATGAGAGCTTTCCTGTCTAAGAGGGGGAAGACTGGAAACATTACACTCCCAGACTTCAAACAACACTAAAATTCATTATAATAAAAACAACATGGTACTGGAACACAAAAATATATGCAGACCAATGTAATCAAATTGAAAGCCCGGAAATAACAGCACACATATATGATCAACTAATCTATGACAAAGGAGCAAATAATATACACTGGAACAAGGAAATCCTCTTCAATAAATGGTGTTAGGGAATTTGGACTGCAATATACAAAAAAGTGAAACTAGACTACTATCTCACCATATGCAAAAATCAACTTAAAATGGATAAAAGACTTGAATGTAAGACCTGACTCCATAAAATATATAGATAGGCAAACATAGGCAAAACATTCCACAACATAAACCTCTGAAACATCTTTGGGCTTCTTCTCCAGAAGCAAGGAAAACAAAGGAGAAGATAAACAGCTAGGACTACATCAAATTGAATATCTTCTGTACAACAAAAGAGACAATAATCAAAACAAAGAGACATCCTACCGAATGGGAGAATATATCTGCATAACATACAACAGATAAGGGACTGATATCAAAGATCTACAAAGATGTACACAACTCAACAAAAACAAAGCAAACGACCCAGTCAAAAAGTGAGCTAACGAACTAAAAGACACTTCTCCAAAGAAAAAAATGCAAATGACCAGCAGGCATATGAAAAAAATGTTCAGCATCACTAGTTATCAGGGAAATACAATCAAAACTACAGTGAGTAGCTCCTCACTCCAGTAAGAATGGCCCACATTAAAAACAAAAAACAAAAAACATGTAAACAACAAATGCTGGAGAGGATGTAGAGATAAAGCCACGCTTTTTTTTTTTTTTAAAGATTTATTTACTTATTTATACAAGCACTGTGTACAGTCAGAAGCACGGGAGGGAGAGAGAATTCAACAGAGTCAGAGCAGAGAGCAGAGCAGGCAGACTGAGGAAGTACACTGCTGAGGGGAGCAGCAGGTGGCAGGAGAGGTCTGCGTGCCTTGTGGGACCCTCGCTGGCGGCCAGGGATGGAACTGGCGCTGCAGAGGCTGTGGGCAGCTTTGCAACCCAGCACTCAACTGCTGCGCCACAGGGGAGGCCCTAAAGGCACACTCTTACACTGCTAGTGTGAATGTATACTGGTCCAGCCACTATTGAAAGCTGAGTAGAGTTTCCTCAGAATGCTCAAAATCGATCCACCATATGATCCAGCAATTCCACTCCTAGGAATCTACCCAAAAGACATGAAAATACTAATTTGAAAGGAAACCTGCACTCCTACGCTTATACGAGCACTATTAACAATAGACAAGACATGGAAAGAACCCAAATGCCTCCAAATAGACAAATGGATCAAAAAGTTGTGGTATATTTAAAAATGAATATTACTCAGCAATCAAAAAAAAGACAAAATTATGCCATATGCAGAAACATGAATGGAGCTGAAGGGATTAAGCTAGCTAAAATTAGAAGAAAAAAAGATTAAATACTGGATGATCTCACCTATATGTGGAATAAAGAGAAATCAAACAAAAGGTCAAGAAAAAGTCAAAACTAGCAAGCTGGCCATAGAACTGAGGCATACAGCAAAGGAGTGGGTGGGATGCGGGATAAAACAGAGGAGGGATGAACATAAGGGAATATGGTGATGGTTCATGGGTGATATGGTCATGGGAGAACTATGGGAACTAAAACAATGTAGAAAAGAAAAAAATTAATAAAAATAAAATGTATGGTGTTCTGTCAAATCATTGTTGACAGGGAAATTTATGGCATCGAAGTTTCCATTTCAAAAACATAAGAAACAAATAACAAAGATAAGCACAAAGCAAACAAAAGAAAGAAAATACTACATATAATAAAAATAAGAGCACTCATCAATGAAATTGAAACCAGAAAACAAGTCATTAAAATCTGCAGCTGCTTTCTCGAACATGTCAATAAAATTGTTAAATCCCTACTCAGATTAACAATGAGAAAAGGGAAGGAGACACAAATTATCATACGAGAAATGAAGGACATTTCCTCTGCTCCATAAACATTAAATGGCTAAATATATACCTCAACTCTTTTTTTTTTTTTTCATCAGGAAAGATTATAAAACTCTCAACATCTTCTAATTTGGGTTGGCTTTTGCTTTTTCAAATTGATTATTTCTACCTGTTGGTCCCTTGAGAATAAAACCCCAACATGGAAGAAAACACAAAAACATAAAAAATTTTCATGGAAAATTTTCCAAATTCTCACAACTAATGACACTCTGTTTTAGCTGAGTGATCATTCAGAAATATGGTTGACATCTTTCATGTTTCCAGCATGAATAGAAAACTTGACAATTTTGTTCATTATTCTATATCCAGTCCTAACAGACTAGCTAGTATTTGGTAGATTTTGGTTACTATTATTTGAAATAATGAAAGATGAGTAGATTGATTAAAAACTAAATAAACATATGTGATTATATAGTTAGGGTTATAATATATTCAAGCCTGTGAGTTGCATTTTGTACATAAATATTAAAGACATTGTTGTGTTAATTTTCTTGGTTTCTCTAAAAAATAAAGTTCCCATGGTTGCTCTCAAAAAAACACCTTTTCCCCCTCATATCTACTGCTATCCCATCTATCTCCATCTCAATTAACAGTCCAACCATGTTAATGCCCGAGTTAAATATTAGGAATCTTCACTAACTTTATTCTTTCCTTGGTTCCCACAACTAGTCCAATATATAATCAGTCAACTCAATTGTGGAACCACCTCATCCGTCTCCACTGCTCTACTTGGTGCAAGACCCATGATGTTATGCCCAAACAAGAACCATGGTACCAAAGGATTCTGCCTGCAGCCATTTCATTCAAGGAGCTGTTCATTAAACATTGTTCACTAATCTGAGAGATTTTAAAGCATCAGTTACTTTATGGAACATTCTCATACAAACTCTTTTCATTTAGGGAACTCTCTTCTCATTTATCCAACCTCCTTATTTGGACTTTTCAATTATCTTGTGGTCTGTCTCTCCATTCTACAGCCTTACTGCCCCAGTGAGACATTCCCTTATTCCTTCAATTCACAAATTCTCTCTACCACATTCCTTTGCACAAGCTTTTGCTCTGGGTAAAATTCTCAGTTTCCTCCAAATTTGTTGTGTTTTATTTTTGAGATTTATTTTTTTTATTTATTCATAGAATATTTGGGCTGTATACCAGAGGTGCAGGAGGTGAGAAGATTCAGCAGAGTCAGCATGAGGAGCAGAACAATATTTTGCTTTAGCTAAAGTGTTTGAAGAAAAACAGACTTCACTGAGCTCCCTAGTTTAGTTGGAGGAGCAAGCACAGTATTTGAGAGAAGCGACTCCAATAAAAAAGAACATGAGGACGTGGGATGTGGCTTCAGGACAGAGGCTTGAGGGGAGGGCGAGTTTGGCAAAACCACGACCAGTCACATAATATCACACAAATATTCTTCTGGTTCAGATGAGCATTAACTAGTTAAATGATATGAGAGGGTGGACATTGACGGATTCTTGCTGTTCCCTCAGCAACATTTGCAGAGCTTTTCCACTAGAAGTTTTAACCATGGATTGAAAATTTTTTAGTAGATTGTAGAGGACCCACCCCATGGTGAACCTGGCAATATATTTCCCCCTTGAATTAGGGAAGGAACTGTGATTTGTTTCTAACCAACAAATATGGCAAAGGTGATCAACTTCTCCCCCTTGATTAGGCGACATTAAATGGCCTAGGTAACAGGATGGGTTCCTATGATGAATTATGTGATATGAGACTTCCTCTTAGCACAGGAGCAGAAAGGACAGTAGAAACACAATGACTGCCCTGTGGGAGCACAGCCCAGTGCTGAGAGCAAATCTCAGGTTGTGGCCTCGATGTGCTGTGAACTTGGAGCGCTGCAGGTAGATGCTCTGGCTGTCCCAGGACAGTGTTGAACAGCCTTAACCAAAGGCCAGAGTCCAGAGGTGGCAGAGGCCGCCTGTGGCAAAACATGGATCCTGGGACTGGAGCTAGTACGCGTGAGGGTACAGAACTGACAACATTATCAAAAGTGTGGGGACAGTCGCTGGATATTACTGGGACAAGGAGGTAGGAGTATCAGCTCTCGTGTGGCTGCTGCTCCCAGTGCAAAAAAAATATGACTGTCTCAAAGTCCCAGACATGGAGGGAGGCTGGACCAGAGCAGACTGATCCATGACCTTCAAAGGAGGCAAATATGCAAACAGGGGTGACCAAGTGAACCTGGGCAAGAGGATGAAAAGAGTCAGTCTAGGCACCCAGATGATCTCTTTCCTGGTGACTATTATCCTGAGTGAAGTGGGGGGAAGGGACTAGAGCCAGGAGAGCAATGGAGACACACCCCAGAGCTCTGCCTCCTGAGCCCCCACTGCTGGGACAGGCCACTCAGGGCTCTCTTGTCTACTCCCTATGTTTTGTGATGCAGGAAAGGCCTCCATGCAAAACCGTTTCCTGAGTTGTGAGGATTCCTTGGTCTTGCTTTGCTCCTCACACTGAAGCCTGATACTCGGGGTGTGGAGAGTATCCCAAGAAGTTGCTTTGATGCTGGATATGAAGGACATGTAGCTGAGGAAGCATCACTTGGCATTCTAGTGAGTTCTCCCTACATACCCTATAAGCACAATTTCTGCAGGAGGCCTGAGCTGTAGTGAAAGGATGCTGCCCACCTTCCAAAGATTCTCACTTGCCCTGTGTGCTCCTTCAGAGATCTCCTGAAACAATTTTCAAAAGTGGTGATTCCTCTATCAGGACACACAGTCTGGAGACCAAAGACCGACCACCCTGGATTCTCTCCAAGATGTTCTGCTTTGGTTTCATCCTACAGAGCAGGGGATGTGGAGAAAAGTACATAGGTCTGACTAGAAAATCAAAAGGCAAATTTTCCAGTTTAGATGAATTGAGAGTTCTGGTTTACTTTAGGGGGGGTTACAGAAAAAATATTTTCTTCTCTCAGCCCTCTAGCTCACTCATTCCCTCAATTGACCCAGCCTCTCCCTCTCCTGACACTGCAGAACAAGCTCACACCAATGCATCTTCTTGCCCTTCCTTCCCTCAGTGAAGTTTCTAAAAGTCGCAGTGCTTTTCAAACATGAAAATAGCTCTCTTTTCATAATTGGTAAAGGAAAAAAAAGTCCAAAAACAATACATAGGAAAATATATTATCATAACCACGGTTATCATTTTAATGACTATCTTTTGGACACCTTCACCTGCCCACCTAAGACCTTCACAGATGTGAATTACATATATTTCAGGAGAGAGGCTTCTGTAATCTTCACTCACTCCTCTACATCCAGGCCTAAGGGAGTCCCAGGAATATGTTCAACATTGTAAAGCATTACTTGAAGTAATGAATGAATGTTACATTCACATTTAATTTTACATGAACAGGACTGCATTATATAATCATGTGACATAGATTTTGCTTTCAAATATTACAGACATCCTCTTTTTAGTGCATCAGTCACAGCAAGCATGAACAGCAACGCGATCATGAAAATAAGATTAGTTCATGGGCAATCTTCAAATTGATCCCTTCTTCATTTCAACCCCAGAGGCATCGGCTGCCGATTCTGCCACCCTCATTATCCTCCCCGCTGCCTCACCCCCCACCTCTTTCTGTTCTCAAATTGACCACACATTTTATCAGGTTTTCTCAAATCTTCCTCATGCCCTTAAGAGGATCCTCTCAAGCTTCCAAGCCAGTTTCCTTCTCAGGCCCCAGAGAGGGGCATTTGTAACTTTCCATACTAGTCTAATGGTTTGCTTCAGAGAATTAGCTACAGTTTACTACTTTAAAACAATAGTCTTCTTGTTTTGAGTGTCCTTTTTCCTTCTGTTTTCAGCTAAACCTATGAGCCAGAGAACGCCTGTATCTCCTTGAGCTGTGTTGCATTAGCAGCCCCTCAAGGACAAATATTTACATGATCCTGGTAAAAGGAGAAAAGGGGAGCCTGTCTCCAGTTCCAAGTGAAAAAAACTGAGTCTTTATTAGCCTTATTCTAGGTGACAATCCCAGGTTCACTGGGGATTGATGCCATGACTTAATTTGTATATAGCTTTGTATTTATTCATTCATCTGTAAAACCATCAATGGAAATCTTCAGTTCTCTCTGCTCACAGGCCTGGTATATTCCAGGAACGGCAGGGTAGAAGCATGAAAAATGGCCAGCCTGTTTCCCTCACCTTCCTGTGGTCTGTGGTAAAAGACTTAGGATCATGTGGATGATAAGGACACAATGCCACACTCATTTCCCACCACCCCTTTCAGGAAAAAGTATCACAAAGGAGGCCACGTCCCACGCCTGAGTGAGGAAGGGAGCTTGCGTCACAGGACTGGGGTTTCTGCTTTGCTCTTCATCTGTCCCTTTCTCTTCACCAGGAAAAGATCCTTATCCGTCTTCACTCGCTATCACCGCAGAAGCCTGACTTTTGCCCCTAGAGAGCGCAAACATTCCCAGCTCCAGGCCAGGTCTCCAGTGCCCCCTGGTGGCCCGAGACGCAAGCTCGGGAGGCTTAAGTGCTGCAGCTGCGCGAGACGCAAGATCAGAAGGCTTCGGCGTCAGGGCAAGACGAAGCGCCCTCGCCTCAGGGGAGACTCTGAGGTCTTGTTGTGACTTGTCCGAAAGAAAAGAGGGAATAGCGAAAATTGAAGTCAGCTGAAGGCCTGAAGGAGGTGAGTAGAACAAACAACGTAAGAATTGATGAAAAATCTTTAGAAAACCAAATCTGAGGGGAAGACTGAGGAAAGCGTGCCCTGCAGAGAGGGCAATTAATCCAATCCAGGTTGCGGATTTCTCTGCCCAGGAATTATATAAATGGCAAGGTTCAGGGCATAGAGGGTACAGGATAACCAAGGGCAAGGGCAGCTTTCCTAGAAGGAGGTGAGGTGTGGTGAGAGCACGTCTCAGGAAACACTAAAGGTCCTCGCCCCCCAATCCCCACAGAAGGATTGGGGGCGCTGAAACAGGCCCTGGAGTTGAGATGAATCAGGAGTGGAGGTTCTAGGCCTCTTTCCTCGCCCTCCCACACAGCCGCCATCCACCCCCACCCCCATGCCCAACTCTGCAACTTGCTGGGCGTGCGCCAACCCTACCCCTCCTCCTCCCTTCCCAACTCGTTACATCAAATCTCTCCTGTACTCCCTGGGATACCCCACGTGTGAGCCCAGGATCTCGCGAGACTTTGCCTGCGCAGGAAGCTGAAGCCAGGATTGGCCAGAGAACTAGTCCCCGCCCCACGCGCCCGCCCCTCCCCTCGGAGCGGCTCCCCGAGGGCGCTGAGTCGCGCTGTTCTTTCCCGCAGCCATTGCGCCGAGGCCACGTGGCGAGGTGCTGGTGTGGAGAGAGAAAAACGTAAGTTCAGACCTCGGTTCCGGCACTCTCAGGGTGACCTTGGGCTGGTCACCCATAACCCCCAACCCCCACACCACCTGTTTGTTGTGTGAAATGAGTTACCACAGAGTGGCGTGAAGATGAAGGAGCTGCGCGTTGAGTCGAGCCAGGCCGGGCCACCAGTTCCGTAACAACGGGCACAGTTAGAAGTTGTAGACGTAATAATCCCTCGAACTTACGCATCATTTTATTGTTTGGTCTCACTGGCGTTTCGGATTCGCACTTGAAGTGAGGTAGCTGCTCCGAGACGCCAACCCCCGCTGGAGGGGCCGGAGCATGGGGGAGGGGGGCGGAGGGGCAGCGGTGTCTGCGGGACAGTACAGTGCCCGGCGGCCTTGAGGCAACGGTTGGTTTCGGCGCCACGACAAGGCCTGCAGGTCTGAGTCACTTTGGTTTGGCCGGTGAGAAACCGGAAGTCGGGTTTGGAGGTGGGAGGAGATTTTTTTCTTTTTTTTTTTTTTTGAAAGACTAGAGTCTCCAGATTCTGTTTCCTCAGCGTCTCCTCAGAGATTTTCACTGCAGCCCTTGGTTCCCTAAATACATGTGTTAACACTGACTCTCCTTGGTTTTGGAGCATTTGGTTCTTGCCCTCACAGAACAGGGAAAGGAAGTGTTGGAGGACCCGAGACCAACCAGAACTGACCAAAGTGGACAGAAGACATTTTCAGGTAGGTTGGGCCCGTGAACTGTCTCAGGTGTCCTGACATGCCCTGTCATCTTCTCTGCCCTTTTTATGAGGAGCACGATGAAATCTGCATCCTTAGGCTCCTCACAGAGAGGAGAAGCTCCAGCTGCCTGTCTTTATTTTCAGGTCATTTACCCGAGAGGGCAGTTGTCCTGCTGTCATGGGGAAACCGTTCTGAAAACCATGGTTATACTCAGAACCAGTGCTCAGGGTGAAGAAGCAGGACTTAAGTCAGAATCCAGAGATTTGATTCGTGTTTGGTGTCAAGCAGGGGCAGAGTGGGTGAGCTTAGAAGAGTGGGCCTCACATCTCTTTGATCTCTTTGGGGGGGTGCCCTATGAAAAGGAGACAGTAATAAGGAACACCTTGTTCTCAAGCCACGTGGTCTGACTTGGAGCTGGGATCCATGGCCCAAAGAAAATATCTCACTCCGGGTGTGTGGGCAGTGCACAGGTGTTGTTAGGACCAGAACACATAATTTATAGTCCCCACTGTCACTGCTGCATCCAGAGCAGGAAATGGTGGCTTTCTGTTCCAGAGCCCCAGACATGGGGAGTGGCTTAGTCAGGATAGACTGAGCATTAGACCTTGAGAGGAAGAGGACAGGCAGAGAGGAGAGGTCAGGGTCATTAACTCCATAGAGAAGGGTCAGCACTGTACTGTTCTCTTCCTCATATGTCTCACCTGTGCAGAAAGCAAGGCGAAAGAGCAGAGCCCAGACCATGGCAGAGACTTCCAGACTCTGTCTTGCAGGCCCCCCACTCCTTATTTATGCTGTGCCTTACATGTGGAAGATGCCTCCATGCTCGTCTCCCCAAATCCTGAGTGACAACATTCAACATGTTTATTTGCTCCTGCCTCGGGCATATGGAGTGGGAAGTGTTTCCTCCCAGGAGTTGCTCTGCATCTCAAGCTGCTGAGCCTCAGGTCTTTTTGGGTCTCTCCCTGGGCTTGTCATATCCCCCTCACCCCCTCCCCCATCCTCTTGGAAGACCTGACTGAGCCCTTGGATTGTGGTGGGTGAGGGTCTCCAAAATGGAGGCTGCTACTTTCTCTTCTTATCCCTAACCTTTCCACTGCCCATACCCTCCACTTCCCTTCCCCCCCAGCCTGGGGTTGTCCCTATATTAAGGTGATAGTTCCAGGCACTGCCGCAGCAGGGAGCCTGGGACTAAGAGCCAGGAGCCGCCTTCCCGTGTCACCCTCCCATGACCCGCTCTGTGATTTGAGTGCAGGTGCCTTACCCTTTGCAGCTCCAGTTACTAACATGGAAAGGAAAAGTCAAAATGCCCCTGCCCGCATCTCATTTCTTGAGAGAAAAGCTAATGAGACCAGGAAAATGAAATACATCGGTAATTCTGATGTTCTGCCAAACTTGAGAAGTTGTTTTATTCATCATCATGATTCAGATTCCAGACTCAAACTCACATTCCCCATTTCCCAGAGAAGCATAAATGAAGAGTATGGTTGTGAAAAAAAGGATGAAGATGTGCCAGGAGGTTGTGCTGGGTATATGCTGCCACAGTTTTCACATTAAAGGGACTCTGGAGACGTGTCACAGCACAAAGGCTACAATGTCAGAAACTGACTGCAGCTTACAAAGTCCTGTGGCAGTGCCCCGAGAGAGAGGAGATGCCCAACTCCATACCAGAATCGATAAGATGAGAAGAAAGCAAGTAATGTTCACAATTCTGTGATAAGGTTTCCACAAAGAAGCAAGACATTTTCATTCTGAATGTTTAAAATCATAGTGTACTCAGGTTTGCTACCTTTTTCATTTCTCGGTATATTTATGGCACATCGTAAGAGTTCTTAAATGTTTTGACAGAAAAATATCTAATGGCCACAGGAAAAGCATTGTCTTTTGGGTTTTGAGATTGCTTTGGGCCATTTCAGTTTGCAGTCTTTCATTTGTGTTTTTGTCCCAGCTCTACTGTGCAGCACAAAGACAGCCTGGGACTACATTTCAGTTTATTTGTTTTTAGTTTGTCTTCTCACCAGAATGCAAGGTCCATGCCTCAAAGATAACCTGAGTAGTGACCATGATATTTACTGGGTGTCCCTCCCTGGCACCCTGAATAACAGTTGACATACCCTCGACGCTCAATACATATTTTTGAGTAATCAGGATTAAGCCTAGAAGGGAAGTTGTCGTAGAGGGGAGGGCCAGAAATGGGCTGGGCCAGACTTCCCTGTGAACATGTCCAGCCTCCTGATAGCCCTCTACCCAGGAGATGGAAGATTTTTCATATGAAGTGTGAAGCCATTGCACTGGGAACCTGATGATTATTGCTCCTCTCCAGGGGGAAGTTGAGTTCTAAACAGCTTGATGTGCATAATTTTACTCTCAGCCACCATCACGTCCTCTGGCTTGGTTTTGGAGATTTGAAGAAGCTGGATGATAGGGACACAATGCCAGACCCATTTTCCTTTCCTCAAAAGCAGAGTTTTCACAATCTGAGGAGGCTGAAGTACCAGTTCTCAAGAAATGCTCTCCTGGGTTGAATGCCATGCCATGGCTGGGCCTCCCCTTCCCTCGAAACTCTCCCTCATCTTGGAGTCCAGGATCAGTGCTTGCTGCTCTTGTCTTGCCCTCTCTCTGTGCGCTCCATCGCCTGCCCTCAAGGTGGAGGAGGCAGCTGCTGGCATCTCACCCAGCCAGAACAAATAAAACCAGCCCCTTGGAACACACCCAGCCTAATGTCAAAGCCCACAGCACTCCTGGGTGGTCTGAGACGCAGGTGTACAGCCTTCATAAGACATAGAGACAGAAGACCCGATATGCTACTCATACGTCATCTCTCTCTTACCCGACCCCACATGGGATGCTCTGGGCCATGCCCTGTTCAGTGTCCTCAGACTGCTCCGGGCGCCCTGTCTCGCCATCCCGCCTACCTTGTGCCTCTCAGTTTATCTCTGGATTGACTGGCTGGATCCGGGTAAACGTGGCAGCAGACAGGGCCTTGCTGATGAAGAAGAAAGAAGGACAGCCTTCTTAGGTCTAGATATTTATTACTGCATCTGAAGTAAAACTAGATTTTGTTGAGTACAGGGAGGGTCAGCAGAGACTCTTGATTTTTTGAGAAGACATAGGCTTAGTCCAGAGGAAAAGAGCCTAAATCCTAATGCTCTTGTCTGCTCAAGGGCTAAGTTAGAGATTCAGATAAGGGAGCCATGGCATAAGTACCACGTCAGGGAGATTCACTGCAGGTTCTTTGCCTCAAGCATTTTTGATTTTTCTGTTAGAAAAACAAAAGAGGGACATAACTTGAAAAAAGGATATAATGTTCCCTACTATCAGCAAAAATTTTTAATCATTTTCAAGAAACTTAAGCAGGAACTTATAACCATTTCTTTGGGGGGTGGAATAGGAACTTGATCCTTTCACTTGCAACTTCCAATATTTTGTGATTAATTTAGTAAAGACATTGGAAGACAAGCAGTTTTGTCTCAATTAGCTAAGTAATTGACAATGCTCTTGAAGGCTATTGAGAATATTATGAAACCTTTCATTTGCCATAGATAGCTTGGCAAAGTTTTTTTTTTTTGTTTTTGTTTTTTTTGTTTTGTTTTTTAAATATGGAACGCTTCACGAATTTGTGTGTCATCCTTGTGCAGGGGCCATGCTAATCTTCTCTGTATTGTTCCAATTTTTAGTATATGTGCTGCCGAAGCGAGCACTTGGCAAAGTTTTGATTTTGACAAGTGAAAGGAGGAGGATACTCTCTGAATTACTTGCAAACTGATTATTTCTAGTATAGTAGGTGGTCTGACTTTACACTCTTATTTCACACTTCCAGCAAGTTTTATTGCTCTATTTTTTTTCTTCCATCTTATACACCTTTCAACCTTGCTGCTTCACCCCAACCTCTTACCCTCAGAAACCCCACTTCATTAGTGTCTACTAGTGTATTTGTCATTGTTATTCTGGCTTGCTTTACTGCTTCACTTTTGTTGCAGGTGAGAACATTGCATCTTTCTTGATGGCTGAATAGTATTCCATTGTGTGTATCTGTACACTACATCTTGATACAGTATACTCTGTGGACACTTAAGATTGTTTCCGTTTTCTAGCTGTTGTAAATAGAGCTGTAGTATCAAGTATATAGTTTTTTGAGTTGATGGTTTCACATTCTTTGGATAGATGCCCAAGAGTGGGGCTGTAGGGTTATACGGTACTTATATTTTTAGATTTTGGGGGTAAATCCACATGGCTTTCCAAAATGGCTGTACCAGTTTGCAATCCCACCAACAGGATTAATAATAGGGTTCCTCT